CCTCCTCTGGACCCTCTCCATGTTGTCCACGTCTCTCCTGAAGTGCGGTGCCCAGAACTGGACGCAGTACTCCAACTGCAGCCTGATCAGTGTTGCATAGAGGGGGAGGATCCCCTCCTTGGACCTGCTTGAGATGCATCTGTGGATGCATGACAAAGTGCAGTTGGCCTTCCTGACTGCGTCCCCACACTATCGGCCCATGTTCATTTTGGCATCAATAATGACTCCAAAATCCTTTTCTGCCTCAGCACTGACAAGAAGGGAGTTCCCCAGCCTGTAGGTATGGTGCTGGTTCTTCCTCCCCAGGTGCAGTACCTTGCACTTGTCAATGTTGAATTCCATCCTATTCTCATCTGCCCACCCCTGTAACCTGTCTAGGTCCGATTGCAGCCTATTCCTCCCTTCTAGCATGCCCACTTCCCCCACATCTTAGTGTTGTCTGCGAATTTGAACAGGGTGTGTTTTACCCCCTTGTCCAAGTCAGTGATGAAGATGTTGCACAGTGTGGGCCTGAGGACCGAGCCCTGTGGGAACCCACATCCCTCCAGGTGGAAAATGCTCCATCCACCACCAGGATGGAATGTAGGTGATGGAAATAGGTGGTAAAATGCAGACAGGTTATCTACAGTTATCAGGTAGCAGGCAGGTTATAATGTGCCATAAATCCAATGTCTGTATTTAGTCCATGATTTTTTTTGTATCCAGTAGATATGTGAAGTGAAGTTTGTAGGCTTATCTATAAAATGTGTTTTGTAAATTCCCTTTGAGGATTAGACCTGAGAGATCGGAGAGAGAATGGTTGTCTTGAGAAGTGTGCACCCCCCAGGTAATTGGATAATTTTCCGTCGGGGCATTCAGTGCACTGAATGAGATATAGCTGGGACCTCCAGAAATGTAATACAAGATCCAGGAATGGTGATGGTTTTTTTGTGGGCTGTGGTTATTGTGGAGATTGTTGGAGATGCATTTGCTGGTTTTACATTTCTTGTCCTGCCATGGTCTGCATCCATTCAGTTCGTTTTGGGTAAAAGGAAGCTTGCTTCTGGTGATAAGGTTGGCAAGGTTCAGGGCTTGTTTGAAGGCTAGGATGGGTGGTTCTAGAAATCTCTCTTTAAGAATTGGGTCTTCTAGTATAGGTTGTAATTGTTTGAGGATTTTCTGTATAGGTTCCAGGGAAGGATGGTGTGTCATAACTATTGATGTGCGATTCGTGGGGATTTTCTTTTTGTACTGCAGCAAATCTTCATGTGGTATCCAGGTGGTTCTTGCAAAAGTGCAATCTCTTTCTTTGGAGGAATGTCCTTGTTGGATGAAAGCCCTTTTGAGATTTGCAAGGTGTTGCTTGCGGGTATTCTCCTCAGTACAAATTCGGTGGTATCGTGTATTACAGTGGTATCATACGAAGGGTGATCAAAAAGTTCTAAGACTTAGCCTTTATTTTAAAGAATAGTGTGCAAACAACATTTTTATGAGCTGTCCCTTTCAAAGTAATCTCCCCCAGATGATATGCCCTTGTCCCATTGTTTCTGCCACTTCTGGAAGCAATGCTAGGAGTCTTCAGCTGTCAGTGTTTGAGTTCCGCTTTCACATTCTTATGGATGGCTGGAATGTCATCAAATCTCCTTCCTTTCAGCTTCATTTTGATCTTTGGGAACAAAAAACAAATCACATGGGGTAAGGTCAGGTGAGTACAGAGAGTGTGGTATCACAGGAATGTTTTTTTCAGCCAAAAATTCTTGAATGGAGACAGCAGTGTGTGACGGAGCGTTGTCATGGTGCAGAAACCATTGACCATTTTCACACAGCTCACGGTGGTTTCTTCTAACTTCATCCCTCAGACGAATCAAAACCTCTTTATAAAAGGCCTGATTGATTGTTTGACCACTCGGTACAAATTCCTGATGATCAATACCCGGAACATCAAGTCTTAGAACTTTTTGATCAAACCATGCATATTACAGCTTTCTTGGTGTGTTTAGGGTGATTGCTGGTTCTGTATAGACATTTGTGTTGGTCCATGGAGTTTTTGTATACAGCGATATGTATTTTACCATTCTGGATAGTAATCATAGTGCCTAAAAAGAAAATGTTAGTGCTAGAGTATTCAAGAGAGTCTGATGGAGGAGTGCTAATTATTGAATTTCTGATGGAAATCAATCAGAGACTGCAGGTTTTAGGTCCAAATGATGATGATGTCATCTATACATCTTGGGTAAAGCATGGGTTTGATGGTGCAGTTCTTGAGGAATTCTTCTTCCAGGTGTGCCATAAAAAGGTTGGCATATTGTGGGGACATTTTTGTGCTCAAAGCTGTGCCCATTGTCTAGGGGAAGTGTTAGTTATTGAAAGTGAAGTTGTTGTGTATGAGGATGAAGTGTATTACTGAATTTATATCTTTAGGTCTGTACTCTGAGTTGTAATCTTGCTCTTGGTAATGATAACCTGTAAAGGCCTGGAAGGTTGGGGACTTAGCGTCTAAACCAGGAGGGGGTGCAAAATAGGGCCTGCGAGCCAGATTTGACCCATTAAAGTATTTTTTTCCTGGCTCGTGGTGGGTCCCTCAGCCCTGCCCAGGAACAGATTGTGGTTCTGCCCCAGGCCCTGACCTCACTCTGACACTGCCTTTACAATCTTGCCCCTGGCCCCACCTGCCCATTCCATTCTGGAGACCGCTTCCCACCTACCCACAGCCCTGTGCCATCTATCCAGCCAAACGTGTCCTGCCAGCACGGTTACCGGGCCAGTCTCTTTCCAGCTACCGCTGCTGCTGGCTTCTGCCTGTGGTACTGGTGGAGATCTGTGCGCCCAGCCCTGACCCTGTCCCACCCTATGCCTGCTCTGCACCACCCACCCATACTGAGCAGCTGCAGCAGCTGTGCAGAATCTGCTCAGCATGGCGGGAAAAGTGGCCCCTCCCACTCCCCCTCTGCCTTGCCCGGCAGTTCTTGCTGCAGCCACTCAGAGCCCATGCCCAGGCTGCCGTGTGGCTGCTCTGCACTGTCGCAGCTCTTCTGCACTGTCACTGCTGCCCTGCCGAGTGGCCTGGAGGCAGTGGTGATGGCAGCAGAGAGAAGTGGCAGGGCAGCCCAGGCACAGACTCTGGGTGGCTGCAGCAAGAAGGGGCTGGCAGCAGTGAAGGAGAGGGGCTGCTTTTCCCCTGTACCAGTAGCAGCTTCTGCCAGCCACAGGTCAGCTTGAGCAGGCGTGGGCTGGGCTAGGGTCAGGGCTGAGGCTGCATGCTGTTGGCGGTGGCAAGAAGGAGCCACAGGGTGCACAGCCCCAGCCCAACCTGTACTACCCAGCCATCGTGCATCCTGCGCCCCCCCCGCCCCCGGCACACTGGAGCTGGGGCAGCTCAATGGCTGGACTGCCTTTCTAGGCAGCCCACGCAGTAGTGGCTCCTACTGGCTGCTGCTGCCATTGGCACCAGCCATGCGGTAGTGGTGGGGACCTGCACGTGTAACCCTAACGTGGTGTGCCCTGCAGCTGCTCCGGACTTGCTCACCTCAGCCATGGACTCTACTGCGGCCCAGTCTTATGGGGTTCCCAGAGGCTCCTCTATAGTTTAGTAAAGTTTAAAGAAAACCACTCTATGCAATGGGACTCAGTGCTCAGTCTAAAAGATCCCATTAAATATCTCTGTGATGCTGAGTTTCAGTTCTCAAACTGTGGATTTGTGTCTGCAGTGAAAACATCCTTGTTAACAGCAGTATATGGAGATGAGAGAGAACAGACCTGATTACCTACCCATCAGCCATATTGTCCTCTCTGCAAGTTTGTGTAGAGTAAAGCCCTTACCTGTCTCTAAAAGCTCAAAGTTTCAATAAGTTAAATAAATAAAGGCTGTCAAAGAATAAGAATGCAATTTTTGTAGAAAGCAATGATTAAATTTTGATTTAAATCAGTTTGATTTAAATCAAATCCTCCCTGAATATTTTTAGTATATGATTTGGTTTTTTTCTGGTTCCAAGATGGCAAACCCCTTTTCTGAAAAGGAGTACTTTCAGGGAAAGGGGAGGGACTTCTAGTGGCAAAGGTCAGAGGTTAGGGACAGGACTTCTGGTCCAAGATGGCAACCAGGGGGGTGGGGCACCAGTCAAGGTGTGGGGCTATCCTTGCAGTCCTCACCTGCTTACCAAAACTCATTACGCAGCCCTCTTGCCAAAATAATTGCTCACCTCTGGACTTGCCACTACACAGCAGCAGTTTTTCCAACTGCAACCTCTTCTAGATAACATTTATCAAAGATTTTTTACTGTTGTACGTAACAAGTATCTAAATGATTTTGCAGCAGGTGCTCTATAAGTCATCCATGTATGTTTAAATTGTTTGACTAAAAGTAAGCTTGTTTCTTTTCTGGGTAGGTTAACGTTTGTGTGCTGTTTGCATTGAGCTTTGAACAGTGTTTTAACCTTTTGTAGATAGGGTCTTTCAAAGCAAGCAAACCTGGAAAAAGCTGTCTTATTTGGAGTGCAGTTCATCTCCCCAGGGAGCTGTACAGCTCTAATTCAGTTGGTAATTTTCTCTGGCTAGCTTAACCTTGTGACTTCTCCTTCTTTCCCTTCTTAAATTAGGTGTGAAGTACTCAACAATATTGATATTTAAATTGTAACTGGGCACTTGGAATGAAGTAAGTGGATTATGCCCCTCAGATCTGTTTTCTATATAGACTGTTACAGATACTTTTCTTTGGTTCCTTGGTTGACATTATTAAAGCCTTTTTCATAATTGCAGAAGCTAAGACGTTAAAATGAAGGCAGATATTCTGGAAGATAGTTTAGCGGTTTGAAAAGTGGCAGTATGCCTGAATGTATCAGTCTAATCCAAGCTCTGACAGGAGAATCTTTCATCTTACTCTAAACTCAAACTGGTTTCTGCTGAAGGACCTGAAAATAACTGCTAAACATCTTGAAAGGCCATAGTGAAGCAATATGTATGTAGGGTGAGACAGAGTATAAGAATAGCCTTCAGTGGAATTCATGCTGTGAGTCTTTGAGAGGCACTGTCTCGCTCTTCTAGATGTAAAAGCATCTAAATGCTTTAAGTTCCCTGGATAGACAGCCACTTGTGGATCCACACTAGAAACAGACTACTGGGACTAGATATTTTTGAGAATCTCAAGAAGCAGTAGTTTACCATTCAGAAGTCCTGCAGTAAAGGGGGACTTTTTAACTACATGCGAGAAGCAGACAAAGAGATTGGAGCCAACTATGCAGTAGTGAAAAAATGGATGGCTCACTTCAACCAGCCTGGGTAGTATTAGGCTGTTGTGTGCTGGTTTGGGATCAGAAAGTGCAGGATTAACAAAGTTGTGCTTCAGGTATGCAGGGCAGAACTGTATATATAGGAGTATTTGAACATGGTAGGAAATGCTTTTGCAGTAATTGAGGGATATTAAAACTGTGCAGGAATTATAAATGGAACGCCTGGCAATTGCTGTCTGCCCTATTAAGGAAACCAGAACAAAAAAGACTAACAATTTGGTAATAAAACAGTCCATAGATAACTGAGGCTGGTTCCTGGATGTTTACAAAGGGTGGCTGGATAGGTACATGATTCAACAGTATTTTAAAACTTCTGCAGTTTTCAGCAATGGGCAGAGGGAACTCTTGCCATTGTGAAACATTGATAAAATGGTTTCCATCCTCACAGTCATTTGTAGCAGTACCCACTGTTTACTTGGCTCATGTAATCAGATTTGGAGTAATGTAGTTTTTGTTTAGTGTGCATTTCAGACTTAGCATTGAAATTATTAGGGTCATATTTCTTATTTTAATATTTGTCTTTTAGATTTGGCATAAGCTTTGTGAAAATAAGAATGAGATGTTTAATGGGGTTTTAATTGGGGGTAATGTTGCCTAGTGTGGAGAGTGCTGGGTCAACACAGGAAAATAGGACTTCTTGTCCTGGTGGCTAGCCTCAAGTGACTCATTGCACCGTGCTATGCTTCTTTCACTAGTTGTAACAATAATAACGATACTTCTGTAATTTTCTTTGAGCTCTACTGATAAAAATATTTTATAGAAGCTAGATATTTGTAAGCAGACTCTAAACTGAAGAAGGCCACAGATTGTGCAGTTCTCTGGGTCATCAGACAGTAAACTGTGCTCCTGAATTTGTGGCTAGGTTTTGAATGCAGTCTATATCAGCTATTCAAGTCTAGTCAGTGGTATTTGGGACTTATATTTTGCAGGTTCAGGGTAATGTAAGATTGATGTGACTGCTGGCTCAGATTTGCATAGTTAAGTAGTTACATTTTGATATTTTTAAATATATTTTTGTCTTGTGGTTTTGATTTCATAAAATATAAATGAGATTGAGATGGGAGGACACCAAGGTTAAGTAGCCAAAGACTGTTGTCTTGAAGGTAAATTAAAGAAGTTCCATGAACTGTAAGACAGATAATTGGATGTTGACTTGTGCTCTCTAAACAAAGCCTGTCATTATTGCTCAGTAATTAAATATTTCAGCTGGCATATCTGTGCTTTCTAAATGTCTCCCCTTATACATATTAGGAACTTCCTGTTACTACAGGAAGTCACCTTCAAATTTTCCTTTAAAAATCACTTCTGTCATAGTAGCTTACCAAACAAGACTATAGCTAAGCAAATAATCCACTGTAATTGGCACTTGCAGCATCAATCATAGTTTTCCTGTTGCTCTGTACTTTCCCCTTCTGCTTTTCCCCCCGGCAGTCCTTTTCATGTCTCTTATCTTTAGTAATCTTTGCTTTATTTGATCAGATGCTTTGCTTCTTGTATGACCAGTTTCTGAGATATGGCAATACTTCTGGTTTGATGCTTTCTTGTAGAAATAGGGTCTAAAATGAGAAATGGGGCAGCTTTTATGGCATAGTAATTATGAATAATTCATAATATAGTAGTGTCTGAGTGTCCCAAGCATAGATCAAGACCTTCCTTTGTGAGACATTGCATACATCCCTACCTCCCAAAGACTCTCCTTGCCCCTAAAGATCATATAGTCACCTCTCTTAGACTACCAAGGAATTCAATTTAAAAGTTAACTCATTTACTTTTGAATTTCTGTGTCTTTATTATGAGGCATTCTGTCCTAGAAATTAAAATGGTAAGGATGTAATTCCCATTGTTTCCCAGATTTTAAGCTGATTTTTGCCACTGCTGCCCCTGGTCCATCCCTGTATTTCGGTTCCATCCTCAGTCTGCCACGTGCCACACAGACCTTGTGTACGGCACCTGTTCTGTGGGTTGGCCACCCCAATTTAGGGACGTGCTGCTGGCTACTGAGTATTTTGAAAGACATTCTTTCTTGAAGGGAGTGGAAGATCCTATCAAGCAACTTGGAAGGATGGCTTTTTACCAGACTTGATCTTTTGCACTATAATGGGAGATATGTTTCAGTACTGGAGCAGTAGGTGCTGCTATATATACATCCTGGGGAGTTATACAATTATGGGCCTGTGCAATTTTGGGCATAAAAGCCATGACTGTACATAATAGCATAATTTTGTATAACTTAACCCTGGCAGGCTCTGTGCCTCTGCAGGGCTTCCAGCAGTCCAGCTGGGAGCCCTTGTGGAGGCATTGAGCATGGTACCGTGCAGCTGGACAGCTGGTAAGTGGAGAGGGGAGTGGAGGGAAGCTCCTGCCTGCAGGAGGGGGTGTGGGTTTTGTGGGGGAGGGCGTGAGGGTGTGGGTAGGTAGGCATGGGGTCTGTGGGTGGGCATGGGCCAGGCTGGCCTGCTCCGTGCCTCCACGTGGGGTTTTCAGCACTCCAGCAGTAAGCCGCATGTGGAGGCACGGAGCCAGCTAAGCCCAGTGGCGTGCAGCTTCGTACCTCCACATGCAGCTTCCTGCTGGAGTGCTGGAAGATTCTCATGGAGGCACAGAGCTGGCCCAGTACGATGGTGCACAGTTTCCACCTGCAGTGCCGCGAGCCCCACGTGTTACCACAGAGTCAGCTCAGTTTGTTGTGAAGATGCGGACCTTACTGGCCGTGTGCTGCCACGTGCAGGCCCTGGGACTCAGCAGGAGCCATGTATCGCTGCAATCTCTGTCTGCTATGGCCATGAGCACCCTGAGGGCCTGCTGCCGGGTGCTGTGCACCATTGTCGGCAGGGGGGAAACAGGTGGTGGGCCGGTCCACACACACCCGTACTCCCCACACCCCTTCACAACCACCCCACACACATACCCTGCACCTACTTCCCACCATACAAAGTACCTGCATATATTCATAAAGGAGGTTCAAATAGTGTTCTATTTAGTTTAATTTGTGGGGGGCGGTTTTTAAAAAAAGAATTTTTTGAATTTTTCTATACATAATTTCCTGGGGAATACATATAGCTAAAAAGGATTGTTGGACACATTTACAAAAACAATATTAACTCTAGCAGCTAAGTTAGCACTAAGTTCATCAAGGACTTTGAGATCCTTTCAAAATACTGGCAAAAAATGTGCCTAGTATAATTGAACATCTCTGTTAGATTACTATCATACATATAGGGTGAAAAGGACTGGACACTTCTTGGGCCATCTCTCCCTTTCTTGTGGTAGTTCTTTTTAATATGCATGTGTTCTATGCAGAATTGCAAACTGAAATGTTCTTCCATCTAACAGCAGAACAGGTGTATTGGTCCAACATATGGTTGATCTGTTCTCAGTGCATGATTTACTGCATACATCCATAATAACCGAGGGCTGACAGATTGTTCAAACTTATGTAGTTGTGGAGAGTTGGAAAGGAATTTCTAAATATGAGTGTTGGGGGAGTTACAGCAGGTGTGGAGAAGTGTGCATTTTGAACCACAGTGACAGATGGGAGAGGCATAGTTGTCTTTTTCATCATAATGATAGCAATTCCATAAGCATGAATCCAACCCCTCTGCTGCCCCCTTCCCACCCCCCTCCCATAGAAATAGCTATGAAAAATAAAGTTTGTAGAAATTTTAATTTGGCTTTTTGATAATGAAAATAATGTATTTCATCCAAAGTAGGTGCTTTTAGATCTGGATGATATGTCCCTTACAAACTGAAATTTATATGATATAACTTTAATGGCATTCCAGAAGTTTCCCTAATATATTATGAAGGTGTCAGTGAAAGTGCACTATAATTTTACGTTGCACTGCAATTTTTGCTTAAAGCAAGATAAATAATAAAATGGCTCTTCCATGTATTAATGATAATATTTAAGCTTGAAAGTTGGACATTGGACCATCAGATTGTCTTTGTCTTAAAATAGTTGTAGATTTTTTTTTTCAGAAAAAAACTACAGTTAATTTTTTGAGGCAGTAT